CAGGACCACCTTGGCCTTCTGGTCTACCAGGTCTACCTTGCCCTCCTTGTCTACCAGGTCCATCTTGCCCTGGTCTACCAAATTCAGGTTCAGGTTCAGGTCCTGGTCTACCAAATTCAGGTTCAGGTTCACCTTGTCCTCCTGGTCTACCAAATTCTGCTTCAGGTTCAGGTCCACCTTGTCCTGGTCTACCAAATTCAGGTTCAGGTTCAGGCCCACCTTGTCCTGGTTCACCTTGTCCTCCTGGTCTACCAAATTCAGGTTCAGGTTCAGGACCACCTTGTCCTGGTCTACCAAATTCAGGTTCAGGTCTGCCAGGTCCACCTTGTCCTGTTTGTCTATCACGACTACCTGTAGAAATCCAACACAGGGGTAGTCAAATGTTTCTTTGGAATAAATTTTAGTTTTTCTGAAGTCAAAATTGAAAGTATGTGAGTATTCATTTCCGCTATAAATATAGTAACAATTGCAATCAGAGCAATTTGGCGAATGCTTTGTGGGTGGACTAAATGCCGCTAGAACGCAAGCAATGTCATATTCTGCAAGCCACATGGAACATGGTCAAGCTGAATGCGAACAGGGATCAATCATACAATATATTATTTGAAATGCAATATCATAGATTGTAATTTTACCTTGATAGTGTAGAGTAATTTACAAGTTTAAGATTTTTATTAAATAGTCTACCTAAAATAATGATAATTTTACATTTGGCTGAGGAAAAATATTTAGCGAACTACAAAATGTTGTGTATAATAATTTGTTTTGATATTTTATTGGCCTTTATGACTTTTATTATTTTATTATTATATCTTGTATACTCACTGAAAATTGCTGAAAAATGGCGTACTCAGTACCTGATACATGTATCCCTCCAATTAAAACCACATTTAGGACCCATGGTTCCATGGTTTAGATGGTCTATAGCAGCTTTGGTCTCAATTTATAATAATATTAGCAGCTTGGTCTCTAATTAGAATAATAAAGATAAAAGGCATTTTTTAATTTGGAACCACAGAATAGTGGTTTCTAATTGGAGGTGGTCTAAATTTGGAGGGAGACCTGCATTATATTTGCGTGTTATATTCATTACTAATGGCGTAGTTATCTAATTAATTGTATAGTACAGTACATGTACTACTAATGTATGGTGATGATTGCAATACAAATTTATCGTAAATACTTGCCGAGCCACGAAGGCCCATAGAGAATCCCCCTGTGAAGTGCGCACTCTAAACGTTTTCAGGACTGTTTTGAGAGGATAAAATGAAAATTGCAATAGACGCATCATAAATAATATTAGTAAGCCTAACAATAGTTATATAATAAATCAATAGTGTCGGATCCAGAAATTTAAAAGAGAGGTGAGCCAAGAAGGGACTTTCACAGACTGAGGAACGACCCACCTCAGCCCCACCATGGTTGGGGGTAATGTAAGAAAATTTATAATTAGGGCACCTCTAGATGGCCGAAATTACACTCCCAGACTTAAATTTATATATATATTTCTCTTTTTTTATTTCCATTAACAAAATTTAGAGGGGAGGGGGGTCCTTGAATCCGCAACTGCTCAAAGCATTCTTTATCCAAAAAAATATAATCACGAAAAATGGACATAAAAAACCAGATCAAATCCTAAAACAAATTTATGCACCCTCACCTCAGCAGTCACTAAGACATACTCTGAGTCAGGTGCCGACTCGATGGAGCTTAATGTCATACCCAGGGAAGGGTCGATACCCACCCCAGACCCACCATGGTTGGGCTGAGGTGCGAACATTTGAGGAAATAGTACCTCTAAATGGCCAGAAATGACACTTTGATCACATCACCATTAGTCTAAATGAAGCGCCAAAAAAAAAAAATCTCATGATCTTTTATCAGGGATTTTCGGCAAACGTCTTATTGATATATGTGATATACCATAGAAACAAAGCTTTAAAAAATTGTCTTTGACTACTGTATGTACTTTATATACTTCAAAACTGTGATTTACAACCACTTCAGCCCCACCATGGTTGGGGCTAAGACGAGAAAATTTAAGGAAATAGTACCCCTAGATGGCCGGAAATAACACTTTTATATAGTAAAATTCATCATCATCAAATCACCATTATAGTCAAAATGAAGCGCCAACAAATTTCTCATGATCTTTTATCAGGGATCTATTTAATATCCAGGATAACTTAGGCCTAACTATGGCTTACTAAGCTTTAACTTTACTATAATAATTGTGATCAACAAATCACAACTTTCTTTTTCGCCTTTAGCCCAATTTTCTTCGATTTTTAATATTATTAGTATCATTATCAATTATCAGCACCATCATCATCGTTATAATAATAATAATAATTATTATTATTATTAATACTAGGTAGGCTAGTATTATTATACAAAACTTTAAAAAGCTAGCAAAAGGATAAAAAGCAAACTGAACAACATCACATTTCTGTATCTTAAAAGACTGGTCTTGGATTTATGGATTTAAGATTTGAAAAATCACGCTAAGGTCTATAAGCGAAATGCACAGCGAAGGACTGAAACCTCGACTTCGAGATTGGGAAACTAAACCATTCCCACTGCGCCAAACCGCTTCTTCCACACACACTTGCAGCGAGCGACGGACTAGTCGTTTGTAAGATGTTCAGACGTAAACGTCATGGACCTTTCCGGGGTGTCAATCAAACTTACCAACTGACCAATCAGAACAGAGCTACGAATACGCGCGCGTGTATATCAAGCACACGTGTTGTCCCACAAACACACGTGTTTGCGTGCGTACATTTTGGCAACTTCTTGGCAACAATATCCAATAGGCGGGCCTCAGCGGAATGGTCCATTGTAACCATAACCAAATTACGGGATTCTTGACACTGCAAAATACCACTATTCAATTCAATTCACAAATGAAACAAACTTTTAAAATGTTTTATACAGTGCCCCGTTATTCAACCCCACGGCCCGCGGGCAAAATCCGGCCCGCCAACGCCAGTGTTGACACACTGTGATTTGATTAGGCGCCCTCTATGGGCGGTCTCTCGATACTCCATCTTGGATTGATCGGACCGTTGTTTTGTTGGCTGTAATAAAGCTTTGTTGTACACTACTGCTAG